TCCCGTTCTGCATATGCCTTCAGCTCACCCACAGCTCTGGCAGGACGATGATTTTTAGAATCTTTCATTCACCTTCGTTTGCCTGATTAGTACCAGGGTTTGTGTGTGTGTGTGTGTGTGTGTGTGTGTGTGTGTGTGTAATTTCATCTCCTTCAATGAAAATCTTTAACATATTTCATTAAGTCTACTTTTGCTTTTCCAAGGAAGTGAGGTGTTTTTGTTATTTATGTATTTATTTATTGCACTGAGTAATTCCTGAATACTTTTATTTTGTACTTACCCCAAATCCTGCTTTTTGAAATAAAGTAATAATGTCACCTGATGAAGAGAGGCACTACAAATTCAGCTTGGTGGAAGTTTCCTCTAGTGCCCTGCTGTCTTTGGGAGTTCCTGCCTGGCTCCCTGCCCAGCCAGCTGAGCCAACCCCCAGAGTAACAAATGTGACCAGTTCCTGCTGCTACTCTGGGGCTCTCTGAGCACTCGCTGTGTGCTAACACATCTCCACACTCACAGTCACCCTGCCCTCCCGATGGACAGGTGAGGAAAGTCTCATGGGCTCCATGACTGGCCCAGGGCCGCAGGGGTCACAGTTAGGCTTGGCCCAGCTGCCTGGCCCCACAGAGCTCCCGCTCTCCTCAGTTCTGTGCTCTCTCCTCCTTACTTCTTCTTTTTGGGGAGAGGTTTTCACTATAGGGCTTGTGCGCTTGCTAGAAAGACAGAGAGACAGAGAGATAGAAAAATAGAAATCACTACCCCGGGGGGATGGCCATGCCGCAATCCCTTCTCCATTCTCCTTTCGGGACCTTGGGCACACATGCACACGTGCCTGGCATGAGTTTAAGCCACCAGGTCCAGGACATGAACTGGGGTCGACTACCTGGGAGTCCAGTGACATAGCCATTACGCTAACTGCTGGTCCCTCCTTGTTGCTTCTTGAACATGCTCTCAGACACGCCCTGCCCTTCCCCAACACTCTCCACAGCCCCTGTCATTTAATTCCTGGTCCTTATCTTTAGCGAGTTGTCACTTCTCTAGGGGGACCTCCCATGAGCCCCATGCTGCTGTCCCACTAGCTAAACCAGACCATGAGTGTAAAAACCAGCTTCCGTCTACAAAAGGACACACCTGTGCTCCAGCCAGGCTTAGTGCGCCCGTTTGCGGAGAGTTGGCGAGGATCACCTGCCACTGCCCCTTTCTTCACCTTTCTTGTCCACCCCAATAGCCATTGCAAGGCAAATCCACTTGGTGGTTGCTGCCTTTTCCCCGTGAAATTAACTGCACTGTTGGCCTCTGTCCTGCTGGCAGATGCAGGCAGGTCACTGAGCGAGAACCGGGGCTGTGAGGGCTGCGGGGGGACGCGCTGGATATAGTCCTCGGTGGGGCCAACTGCCAGTGTGTCCATAATGCCTCCCCGCCCGGCTTCCTGAACACGTGAGCCTTCCCGGACCAGCCCCTGTAGTGGTCTGACCCTTCATGCCAGTGCTTCTCAGTTACCTGTGGTGAAAAGCCAGTTAGCTTTCCCCCAAACCATCCTGAGCCAGTACTTTTATAAAATATCATAAAATGAGTTACTAGAAAAATACATTTTTTTAAAAAAAGTATAGAATTCGAGTCCAAACTTTAAGTTTCAGAGACATGGTAACAGCTGACTTGCCAGCAGTCCCTCAGCTGCTGCTCTCAGTTCCCCTGCAGACAGACTGTTCCCCAACCACACTTCCAACAACACATGTCAGCCAAGGGGCCACAGGAAGGGTGCTCACTTCTGAGCCTCGCTTCCTTTACCTACAAAATGGAGCCAACAGTACTTTAACTTGTAAAGTCAAAATACTGTTTTAATTATGTGAAATATTTTTCCTTTGTTTTATATTCCATTGGATTTATTTGTTTCTGCTTGTTTTTATAACTTCAAATTTTATTTTATTTTTTTTAAGAGAGACTTTTGCTATAGGGGATGTGCACTTGCCAGAGAGACAGAGACAGAAAGCAAGAAATCATCCTCTGGGGGAATGGCCACACCGCAATCCCTTCTCCTCCATCCTCCTCTGGGGATTTTGGGCACGTACACACACGCACCCAGCATGACTTTTAAGCTGCCGTGTCCAGACTTGAACCGCGGTCAACCACGTGGGAGTCCAGCAATGAAACCATTATACCATCTGCTGGCCCCTTAAATTTGATTTTTTGAAAATAGGTAAAATAGACAAGATTCCAAAGTTACATTCAGAGTCTCTATTCCTATTTTCTTCACCTTGTAGATAACCATTATTTGTTTCTAGTTTAACCCTTCTATATCTCTCTTACAGAATACATATTTTTAAAATATATAGTTCTCCCTCACACAGAAGCCTCTTCTGCACATTGCTTTTGTCACTTATCATAATATCCTGGTGACCACTCCAGAGCAGTACATCAGTGGTCTTCATTCATTTCACTGCTAGGTGGAAGTCTCTTGTATTTGTGCCATAGTTTATCGAGCAGGCCTTGTCTAAGTGGGCACCTGAGCTGTTTTCAGGACCTCTGTTACCATAAATTGTGCTGCAGTCAGCAGCGTCACTTGTCAGAGAAACACACATGAGAGCTACGGTGAGGCCCAGTACATTGATGCGGGTGGTAGGTGCCACGGCTCGTTACGGGAGGCCCTGGGTTTGGATCCTGGGTTGCCTTCAACACACAGGTGTGCCCGTTGGGGGCTCTGTCTATGTCTCAAGAAATAGACAAATTTCTAAAAAAACTTCTGAAATTAGAGAATGGTAATGATTATACAGTTTTACGTATACTAAAACCACTGAACTGAACACTTTTAAGGGGTTTAGATTTTATGGTATGTGAATTATATATCAATAATATTGTTACTAACAAATAAACTGTGCTGCAATGAACAGTCTTATGCCAGACACGAGTCCAGGTGCTGGCGTATGTTTAAGCAATAGCCTCGAATGGGATTGCCAGGTCAGAGAGTAAATCCAGGTGTGATTTTGCTCATACTGCTCAGTTCCCCTCCACAGTGCATGGGGGTGCACCGGCTATCATTCCCGACAGCTCAAGAGCAGCGCCTGTTTCCCTGTAGCCTTGCTAGTCGGGTGTGGTCATCAGCCAGTCTACAGGTGAAAAATACTCTGTGTAATTATAGTTTGTCTTTCTCTTACCATGAATGAGGTTAAGCACATTCTGGTACCATTATAGTCATCTTTATTTGTCTGTGCCATTTCTATCCACATAGTTGTATCCATTTTCTATTTCCTCGTTGGTGTTTAAATTTTTACAAGATCTTTATACAAGGGATTTCAGAAAGCTTATGGAAATACATAATATGAAAAAAACGATGCATGGATTTCAGGATTTTTTGCACTAGAATAAACTTCCATACTTAAATTTCATTTTTCCACAAAAGTTTTGAGTACACTCATATAGTAAGATACTAATCCTCTGCAAATATCTTACAGGGATGTGCTATCTTAGAAATAATTTTTCCAATTTTCATTTGCTTTGTTTTTTAATTGCCAGAGGGTGGGTGTGTGCTTGCCAGAGAAGGAACACAGGCACATGCGTGCCCCCAATGGACGTGGCCACTCTGCAGTCCTTTTTCTTCCATTCCTCTTCAGCATCAGGATTTTGGACATAACACATGTGCGCCTGGCATGTTTTTCAGGCCACCAGGGCCAGCTTTTCAATCTGGCTCCTATAGCTTCTGCCCTACTGAGCTGACCCAACCTCCCTCTTTAAAAAATTTAGTCAAATTTTAAAATGTTTTCCACATTGGGAACCAGCAGTTAGTGTAATGGCTATGTCGCTGGACTCCCACATAGTCGACCGCGGTTCATGTCCCGGACCCGGTGGCTTAAAACTCACGCCGGGTGCGTGTGCGTGCGTGCCCAAGATCCCGAGAGGAGAATGGAGGAGAAGGGATTGCGGTGTGACCATCCCCCCTGGGGGGGTGATTTCTCGCTTTCTGTCTCTATGTCTCTATCTGTCTGTCTGGCAAGCGCACGCGCCCTACAGTGAAAATCTCTCCAAAAAAAAAAAAAATGTTTTCCACATTGTTCCTAGATTTTGAATACACTTAGGAAAGCTTTTCCTATTCCAAGCTTAGAAACGGAATCCACTCATATGTTCTTACAGTACTGGTGTTTTATTCATCTTTAAATTTAAATTTTTTGTTTGAAGTTTGTTTAGAGTTCATCCCAGTGAATAATGTTAGGAAGTGATCTACTTTTTCCCTTTTTATATGGCTATCCAATTGTACCAACATTTTAGGGAAGGGTAAAAAGTATCACTTTTCATTTGCATGCCTTTTTTTTTTTTTTAAGATTTTTGCTATAGGGCATGTGTATTCACCAGAGAGACAGAGAGAAAACAGGTGAGAAATTACCCCCCAGGGCGGATGGCCATGCTACAATCCCTTCTCCTTCATTTGCTTCTTAGGATTTTGGGCATGCATGCACACGCGCCTGGTGTGAGTTTTAAGCCACCAAGTCCAGAACCCACACTGCGGTTGGCTACGTGGGAGTCCAGTAACATAACCATTATGCCATCTAGTGGTCCCTGGTCTGTTTACTTACTAACGGGTGCGAGAGAATGACAGTCAGACTCACACAGGGATTCCCAGGAGGGTTTCACCTTGCCGTGATCTTCACCCCAGACTTCCAAAAGCCATCTCCACAGGTGGGTGTGCCCACGAGCTTATTGAGCATCTGAACCCCAACCTTTCCTGGTGGCTCCCACAACACATTGCAGCACCCTATGACCTGTGCCACCACAGAGGGGCCAAATAGGTCTGTTCTTTAAGTATTTCAGGGCTGATACTGGTTGTCGGCAACGTCACCACATATTTTTTTCTATACAAAAATGCCTTATGACTTTCTGGACAACTCAGTAGAAACATCTTGGATAATTGTACAAACATGATAACACCGTGTAAGGAAATAAAAAGAGGAACAAGTCCATGATCTCTGACCCTAGCTGGGCTGTTTCATTGTGTGACTTATCTTCTCTCTTCCTAGGTAAATGAACTGGACGGCATTCCACTGATCCTGGATGGCTGCGGCCTGGATGGCAGTAACCCGTGTATCCTTCCATGTGAGCCTCTGTGTATGCCTGTATGACCAGAATGTGTCCCTTCCTGTAGTTCGTTCAGTCTGTAGCTGGCTGGCGGGCTTACCTGCTCGTTCCGAAGAACCAAACCACTTCCTCCCAGTTGGGATTCAGAAATGTCACCCCATGACCTTTGCAGTATAGTAAGCTCATGTTCCAGGTGAATGGGCTGAGGTGTCCCACACCAGCTCGCTACTAGAAGACATCTCACAGCTCTGGGCCGAGGCGACTCAGCCAAAGCCCTGTGTCACTCGGTCACCTTTCCTCAGTGGTGTGTGGTCCTTGGTGTGAATACAAAAAATTCTGCGCTTTCTTTTCCTTTTTTACTCTGGAGATTCTGAGTGTCCAGTCCTTCAGAAGAACTGTTTGAACAGTAGTTGGGCAATGAAACATGAGGCGGGCCGGCTCCTTAGCCATAGGAAGAATTGTTTCAGTGGCACTGAATTCTCGTTTGTGAAGGGGTCTGTGTTGCACCCTTCTGTTACTGAAGCTGAGTTCTCTGGCTCTTGCCTTCACTTGGGTTGGCCACCCTTGGAGGGCGCTCTGCCAGGACCTTGCTTATTTCCTATCTCTCCACCAATTCGCTGCACTGTACAAAACTGGCCTACGACAGTGATGAGTCACAGGAACAGGGACAACCTGGTTAGATCTGAGATAAAGCCTACTGTTTAACTTCAAGAACTTCCCTGGTAAGGGCCAAGCTCAGCCCCGTCCTTTCCCTGGCCACTTCATGGCCTTGTACTCAGTGCACCAGGGAAGGTGAATAAGGCCATCAAAAGGACTTTGGGAGGCAGAGCAGCGAAGCTGGGGAATGGGGAGGCTGACGGGGAGGGACGTTGTAAAAGTGAAATACCCCTTATTTGGCTTCTGCCACGGTGAGGAAAGGAACAGCTGAGAATCCTGTGTTTCAGAGTAAGTAGAGATGCTTACTTGTACTAACGATACTGTTGTTTAACAATACTGATTAGCGATAGGAAAATCCTTTTTTTAAAGAAGGCTGTAGCTGTTAAGATGAGTCAGGAAGATAAACAGCCTCAGAAGGCTCCTCTTTGAGGTAGAACAAAATTGGGGTACTGTGCATGAGTCAGCTACTGCCGGCTGCACTCACTGGAGAGTTTTGACGTTTTCTAGCCTCCCAAAAGGAACCAGAAAAAGAAGAAAGCTTCAGTCACAGGAAAACGGTGCAAGGATGTTCAGGCATGCTTACAGACATTGGATTTCTTAATGAGAGATGATTTGTTGGGAAGATTCGCTTCTCCACCATTCACTTTATCTTCCCCTTCTCGAGTAGAAGTGTTTTCATCATATCTTCCCCTTCTCGAGTAGAAGTGTTTTCATCACTGAGCTTGTCTGTTAGCAAAACCCGAATACAAAAAGGCTGTTGCACACGAGCTCACTGTAGGACTTATGCCGGTGCAATTCACGCCCTCACCTCTTTCACTTCCGAATCCTCCTTCCCATAACTGTTTTCATGAAAATGTTATGTAGTCCTCATTCCGTATTAATCTTGACAGCACCATGAAGCAGATACTATCATCCCCATTTTGCAGATGAGGGAATAAACTGGGCTTCTCAGTGACTCGCCCTGAAGGCCAGGACCAGAATTCAAGCCGTGATAGCCCCTGGCGGGGGCTTTTCTGTACTGCCTTCTGTGAGTTGCACGGGGTCAGAACACATGCAGGGAAGCCATACAGATGTGTTCATGTGCAGAGGTATTACTCAGATTACTAAGATTCAAGATGTATCGGGACATGTGTGGATAACTGCCTTTTATAATGGTAATTAATGAAGCATTGTAAAATCCTTGACTCTCCTGTGAGTTGGTAAAAGATAAACAAGTACAACAGGTACGTTTCTGTTAGGTGCATGCGGTCTTTAGAGTGCTACTTATTAAGCCTGCCAGAGTCTAAAGGTACATGAAGCATGTATGACAAGATAGGTGCAAACGGAAACTCCAGCACAAAGGGAGTCAGTGATGGTGGAGTACTCACAAGTGAGAAAACGCCGTGGCCTGAGTTTCAGCTCTCTGATGGGAGTCATAAAGTAGCATCTGGCCTTCCCAGCACAAACAGACCTGAGGCACATCACAGACGTCACCTTATCCTGTAGATAAGACCATAGACTTCTTTCCTGCTGTCAGGCTGCTGCTGTTCACTGACAGGTTCCAGAGAATTACCTGGTTGCCTTAACTACCTCTCACCTCCCAGTCACTCTCATCTTTTCCTTCTGTGTTTTCTCTTTCTTTTATTTATTTATCCATGAAAATAATGCACCTTGTGGCTTTAAAAAAAAAAAAACAGTTGACAGTTTTAGCATTTTCTCATTTCACAATACAAATGAAAACTGCACTTTTTCGTCTCACTTCTCTCCTCCAAAACTACTCTTATTTTTCATTTTTTTTAATAGGAAGGGAAAGAAAGTCTTCCTTGACATGCTGTTAGAAAACACCCAGAGTCACAGCACCAGGCTCTCTTGGTGAAGTAGAACAAGTTAATATAAAACTGACATAAAGAGGCCTCCCTTCATCCTTATCCGTCTGGCCGAGTGGGCACCATCATGGGCCTGGGCAGGAGATCTCATCATTGGGGGCCCAGCATCCTGGCATGTGGCCTCCCATGGTGGCCTCATTCCAGGAGCAGGTCCTACTGGCATCATCCCAGGAGGAGGAGGGCCCCCCATATGGGGTGCTGGCATCACGCCAGGGCCAGGAGGACCTGGGAGACTGGGGGAGGTGCCATCATGGCCCCGGCAGGAGGAGGAGCAGAGAATGGAGGAGGAGGATCTTCCCTGTTGAAAGGCACGGTGGTTTCGTCAGTCAGGCTTTGCGCCTGCTCTCCCATCCATTTCTGATAGTAGGCTTTCCCGTTCCCTTTGTGTTTCCTACCACTGCAGTGTGTCTTCTCACGGACGGAGAATCGGGGGTGAGGTGTGTATCACAGTGGGCACAATAAGCTCGGGCACGTGGCTCCTCGGGCCGTTGGACTTTCCGCTCCGTTCCGCGCCGCCGGAAGTGACGCGCACAGGGAGCGCCGACTCCTCCATGTGGCTTTTTTTAATTGTGAAAGGTGTTCACAGGGAGAACAAGGGCGTGAAACCGTACTTCTCAGTTCACTCTCAGAGCTGCTGCTTCCACTAGCTGCTTGTGCACATGTAATAATGTACTTTGCTCCCTTCCTTAATGTATCGTGTTTGATGTAACCAGTGTCTCTGAGCTTTCCCGCCCTCCCGCTCCGCTGCAGTGAGACCCCATCCGGTTTTCTGTCGCCCACGTTCTCAGGCCGGAAGTGTTTATTTGCGTTTGAGTTGTGTTTATATGTACGCAGAGTACTCAGTCAAACCTTCTCCCAATTCCATCAAGTCATTTATTTGTAACAGATCTTTACATAGTCTAGATAGAAGTTCTTTGTCAGCTACAGGTATTGTTTTCTGATAATGGTTGTTCTTAACTTTTAATCAGTTCTGTCCCTCTTTATGGTTAGGGTTTTATTTCTTGTTTCTTGTTTTATAATGTATATATATATCTTGTTTAAGAAATACTGGTGTTTGTTTTTGTGTGTGTGTGTGTGTGTGTTTTTTTTTTTTTTTTTTGAGAGGTTTTTGCTATAGGGCGCGTGCACTCGCCAGACAGACACACAGAAAGCGAGAAATCACGCCCCCAGGAGGGATGGCCACGCCACAGTCCCTTCTCCTCCGTTCTCCTCTTGGGATCTTGGGCACACACACACGCGTACCTGGCATGAGTTTTAAGCCACCAGGTCCAGGACACGAACTGCGGTCGACTACATGGGAGTCCAGCGATGTAGCCATTATGCTAACTGGTGGTCCCCTGTTTAAGGAATATTGTGCCACAAGGTCATTATGATAATCTGGATTATCTTTGAATTCTTTATCATTTTACCTTTTACATATATGTCTATAATTTATTTGGAGTTGATTCCTGTGTATGGAGTAGACTAGGGGTGTCCTCCTATTCTTTTCATGTGGACACATGGTTGTCTCAGTCGTACTTTCTGAAATGAACATGCTTTTGTCACTTTTTTTTTTTAATCAAAAAAGGCAAGTGTCCACACTAGTTGGGTATGTTATTTTGGGTTGTATTCTTCTCCATTGATCTGTTTGCCTGTCTCTGCACCAATCCCACAGTCTTAATTACTGTAGCTTCCCAGCATGTCTTAGTATCAGTCAGGTAAGTCCTTCTGTTATAACTGTTGGGTCTGTGGGAAGTCATGACATGTTTTTCTGTGTAAAAATGCTTCATGGCATTTCCGACAACCAAATACTTTTTAGTCATTTGTATTTTTGTGTACAAGTTTTAAAACCTATCTGTCACATTCACACTCATGGGTATAGACATTTGAGGGGAGAAGTTCGTGGAAAAACATAATTTTTAATGCAAAAAGCTTTTGAAATCTCTGCATAATTTTCTCATTGCGTGTATTTTCCATGAATTTTTTGAAGACTGCTTATATATGCATACATGTACTCATACATGCAAAATCACCAATTAAAACCATTTAACCTCCCCATACTGAGTTATTCATTGAAATTGTATTGATTAACCTGAATTTGCTAAAAGTTGACATGTAATCCTGAGTCTTTCAACCCATAACATGTTCTACCTGTCCATTTATTTAGGATCATTAATTTTCACTTTCGTTCTTTTCTTTGTACTTTAACTCCATTGCATGGATTTTTTATATGTGCTATTTCATTGTCATGCATTTAAGTGTTTCCTAATTTCTATTATGATTTCTTTTTGACCTGTGAATTATTTATAAATGAATTTCTTAGTTTCTAAACAAAAATTTTCTGTCTTTTAGACTTGATTGCTTTTTTTAATTTTATTTTTTATTATTTATATATTTTTTAAATTTACAGTGTACAGCATGGTTTTTCCCAACCATGACTACAGTACATATTAGTGAAGACAGAGACATTACTACATACATTATCTTCAGCTGATACCGTTTCATTTTTTAGAGATCAGCCTCTGCTGTAATTGCATGGTGATCAAAGAGCACACACTCAGCTTCCTCTGTCCTGTGAAATTTATCAAGACTTGCTTTATGACCCAACCTCTGGTCAGTTTTTGCCTATGTTCTACACATGCTGTTCTCATTGTTAGGATGCACATTACCTTTATGGATTTGTGCCTTTTTAAAAAATCCAGTGGGGGGGTGGGCAGCAGATGGCATAGCGGTTACATTGCTGGACTCCCACCTGGCCACTGTGGTTGAGTCCTGGACCTGGTGGCTTTAGACTTACACCGGGCATATGTGCATGCGTGCACAAGATCCCAGGGGAGAACAGAGGAAAGGATGTGATTTTTCACTTTCCCTCTCACTGCTTCTGTCTTTCTGTCTCTGACCATCACACCTGCCCTAAGGCCAAAACCTCTACTCACCCCCACCCCACCCCCCCCAAAAAAAGAAAATCCACTGGGGCTTCAAAAGAGAATGGAGATAGAAGTGTGTGTTCATAAGCTTCATCTTCTACTTATGGTCACCGGTTACCACTGTCTTGCCAAAGTCAGTGGGTACTTAAAGTTCTTGTGTTATTAACTTTACACAATTTATAATTCAACAGAATTAACCACTTCTCCTAAGTGTGCTGCATTCTTGTTCGCAGCAGTGACACTGCCTTCCCTTGCTTTCTCACCTCTCCTCCTCCCCTCAGCTCCTTCCTTGCCAGCTTTTCTTCCTTCCTTTTCTTCCTTCCTTCCTTCCTTCCTTCCTTCCTTTCTTTCAAATACCTGGACCAGGCCCTCAAGGCCCTACTTAAGTAGATCCTCTCCAACTTTCTTTTCTTTTTTTTTCTTTTTGAGAGGTTTTCGCTATAGGGCGCGTGCGCTCACCAGACAGACAGAGATAGATAGATAGAAAGTGAGAAATCACCCCCCAGGGGGGATGGTCACACCGCAGTCCCTTCTCCTCCATTCTCCTCTCAGGATCTTGGGCACGCACGCACATGCGTGCGCCTGGCGTGAGTTTTAAGCCCTGGGTCCGGGATGTGAACTGCGGTCGACTACGTGGGAGTCCAGTGACATAGCCATTTCGCTAACTGCTGGTTCCCCCTTGCCAGCTTTTCTATACACCCTTTAAACTTTGCAGCGCCTCAGGTACTCCAGAGCCTGGGGATGTTCTTCTTACTCTGCGGCTTCTCCCTCATCCGCCATTCATTCCTTTATTTATCCAGTGTTTATGGAACACTATTTACATCTAGAACATTCTGCTGGGGCCCTAGAATGGCAGGAAGCCTCTGGGGTGTCTTTGGCAGTCATCCAGAGAAAGAGATGGTGATGGCTTGGTCCAGTCTGGCCGCAGAGCTGGTAATAAGCCGTTCTGTTCTGAGTGTTCTCATAGTTTTAAATACCACCCGTTCACCTACAGGTTCTCTCTTCTGAGGCTCAGACTAGTATACATGACATGGGGCTTGGATATCTTCCCACATTCCCAGGTCAGCCTTTCCGAGGTCAGACTGTCAGTAGCTTTCCTCACAGATGTCTCCTCCCTCTGAGAGGGGACAGCTCCTCCCACGTGGTCACTCAGAGCTGAGCCATTCCCAGTGCTCTTCCTTTTGTTCTCTAGCATCTCGATCACCACCATATTTTGGTTCTTTCTTCAGATCCTTTTCCAAGTCTTTCTGCTTCCCTCTCCCGGCATCACCATCCAGCCCACACTTTGGTCACCCCTGGCCTGTCGTCTTCAGCAGCGACTTCCTAACTCACCTCTTCTCATGTCCAAGTGACTTCTGACTCCACACCCACTCCGTGTAATGACCTTCTAAACCCACACAGGGCCATTCCTCTGTGACCCTCCCGCACTGCCCTCCTCAACACGCCTCTGTGACACAGGCTCCATGACTGCCCACTGCTCTTGGAATAGAGTCTCCGTCCTCAGGTCCTGTGAGACTCCGCTCCTGCCTCTCCCACCTGCAGTGCCGTTCAGTCTTCATGCTGCCCGGGCCAACTGTGCTCTTCTCAGCTCGCTCTGAGTTCTCAGGTCAAAGCCATCGTCTGTGTGGTTCACAAGTCACATCACCTGAGCTTCTTCCAGCTGAGTCGTCCTCACCTTCATGCCCGACATCTGTTCTCTTCCTCAGTAGAGCCTTCCTCAAGCCGCAGCCTGGAGTAAGAGACCCCTGCCGGTTCCCTGGCAGAACCTGTCTGTTCCTCGGCTCACCACAGCTTGTGCGTAGATCTATGGGTATTTATGTCTGATTACCTTCTAGACTAAGCTCCTTGCAGACAGGGACTGTTTTCCTGTTTCCACATGGTAGATGCCCAGTAAATGCATCCTAGATGTATGTGTGAATAAACAAATAGAAGCAAGTTGGTAATATGAATATGTGTGTGTGTGTGTGTGTGTTTGGGGGAAGGTGGTTTTAAGCTCTAGAAAAAGGTCTCCCATGGGTTCTTTTGAAGTTTGTGCACTAAGTAATTTTAGTTTGGCAGTGATATTATTTCAGATTTGTTTTGTTCTTCTAATAACACCAGCGAAGCTTTTTTTCGAACTTTCAAGTTCACTGTTTTGTGTTAAAAGCAATAGCTATTTTGGATATGCTTAGACTAGGCGTAAGTGCTGGTGTTGAGTATTAGTTAATGATATAACACCGTTCTCTGAGCACTCTGGTCACTGACCCTGTCCATGTGCACGGACGCCCTCCATGGGGTGAGGATGGCCTGTGTCGCCTTCAGACGGCAGCGCATTCTCTGTGGGAAATCTGTGGGCAGGACTGTGTGAAAGATGTCATATTCTCAGTCACCCTGCCGACTCCGAACTCCCGGCCAGCCTGCCAGAGCAGCCTAGAGCCGAAACTCCCCCTGGGGAGGGATGGGGTTGGAAGGCTTCCTCTTCCCTCTCTTGGAGGCCACTCAGAGAGACTGACAGGGGTTTGCAATTCTGAGGAATAGGTAGCAGCTCCGAGGAGAGCCAGAGCGTAACTCTGGAACTGTCCTCGCTGAAGCTGCTTCAGGGCTCCAGGCCAGCCAGCGCCCAGCTGTTCACCTCCCCACTCACTTGTGGGTGCCCACAGTAATGACATGGTAGCCAGTGCCATCGGAAAGTTCCAGCGTCACTCCCAGAGTCCATTTCTTATTTGTCAGTTTATTGTGGCAAGTGGGATTTTTTGTTGTTATTGTTTCCAAATAGAAACAGCTGAACTTTATTTGAAATGTTGTTCTTTTATTCTTTTTTGATCTATGTTTTGATCAGTTGTCCTTGATGTGGGTTTTTTTTTTTAATTGTTTTTTTTTGGGGGGGGGCAGGGGTAGAATGAAAGTCCAAACTGGATTGTTTGGGTTTTTTTTTTTCTGTTTTCTTTGCTCCCTTTCTTTCTTTCTCTCTCTCTGTGTAGAATTCATTTGTAGGAAAGTCAAATTCATTTGA